TAATTAAATCAGTTGAAAATGTTGCATGATTCACCCATCTGTCCAAAGTAACAGCTAATTGCAATATAATACAAATTGAAGTGTGTACTTCCTATACTCTGAACTTCTAAGAATATGGCAACACTTGTATGTATGTGCCTCTATTAAAAATACGTAATTTTAATTACATGCTGTGTAAGTTATTTAGGTTTAGTCCATTAGTTTTATCCCTATGTGTAGAAATGCTGAATCCAAGGAACAAGGCAGTAAACAATATTGGCCTTTAATGACCAATTAAAGCAGCCTGTCATCAGCCCTGGCATCAACTGAGCTGGTAATTCAATGTACAGATATACCGTGGTTGTTTAGAATAAAATAGTACTTGGGAAGTACAAAGTCACTCTCGTTCCTACAGAATACCACTCCCGAAAGTTAACAATTCTTCATAAGTCATCCTGCAGCTAAAACTTGGCAAAGAAAAAGTTGGAAGTTAAATGGTTCCAAAGTGATGGCAAACATCATACAGTTGCCTCAATGCACCTAGATGGCTCTCAATGATCAGGACCTTTCCATGGCCCCTGTGGGGGCAAATGGCGTGCTATGTGAAGAAAGTTCATTAACTAGATACTTTACTAGATACTAGATACATTAACCTACTGGGTTAGGTAGCCTGGTTATGTTGACACCTGCCACGCCTATGGCTATTCTAGCCATGTAGGCTTACTATCTGTTCCAGATGCTAGCAAAAATTTTCTCTTTAAATGTGATAATATAAGACAAGTTGTCCTGTCTGATGTTACCAATCCAATAACCTAATCATTAATAGCTTAAAAACAAGGCCAGAAAGTACTATTGTGCTCGGCCTTCATGCAAATACATGTGTAACAGGTTCAGTGCTGGATGTCTAAATGTTACAATGGCACAGGGAAAGTGGGGGAAACACAGCGAGCAGAAGAGATAAAAGATTAAAAATTGAAATTAGGAGGGTATACCTGACTTGATTAAATGGAAGTTAAAATATAATGTGAAAAACGCTATTTTAAATTCTGATAAACTATTTAAGGTTATGTAAGGAAAGATAAAAGAAATGAGAAGAAATGTACACTTTAGACCCACAGGAAGAAAGCAAGATCTGTTAGGCTGTAGAATCACTTCTGCAGGCAAAGTTAAGATGAAAGATGAGGGACCTGTTTTTACATGCACCTAAAACTAGGCCATGCAGTGTCAAAGAAAAGGTGCTGTAAGAAACAATTTTATACTGTTCTGTATGTTATGTAGGACTATTTGTCCTCTGAAGCTTGCTGAATTTACTCTGCCAGGGGTTGGACAATGCAGACTGTAAACCTTTCAGGTAGGGACCATCTCTTCATAAAATCCAGTGTTCTTATTTTTGTGGCTGTTCTGAATGGATATGGGACAATGCTGTGCTATGCAAAAACAGATCATGAGAACGGAAAGAATAACGGAAACTAAAGGAAAGCAAAGCAGATTAGAAGTGTAGCAGAATGGAGTGAAACTGAAGAGGGAGAGAATATAAAACCAACAAAAAGCAGAAAATAAAAGGGAGAAAGGGAGCGGGGCCGTGGGGGGAGAAAGTGGAAGAAAGTCAAGGTATTTCTCCTCTCTATATGGTGCAGGATTTAAGCTGGGACTACCAAACTCTATGCAAGTCTCATTTCTGTTAAAACTGATAATGTAGAAGTAAACGGTCCTACAGGGAAAAGAATAGGAGGCAGATGACAACTTTCCAGGGCTGGCTGGAAGGTGGATGAGATAGTCAAGGAGGAGGAATCTGTTGAGGGCTAAGCCACCGCTGAAGGACTTGCTGATGACTGGAATTTGTTGGGTAAAAATGGCCAGCTGCAATGACTGTGAAGACATGAGCTTGGAAGAAGAGCTACTTGGATGCTAGAACTACAATAAACTAAGAGCTTGCTGAGTGCGGAGAAAAAGGCTAGGAGATTCTGAGTATTGCTATGAGGTAATAAACTAGAGCCAGAAGGAGTCTATGCTGAAAGCTGCAAATGTAATGATTGCTTTGATGGATGGGAGAGAACTACAGGGACAACAGCAGTGCCTGAAGCCGACTTGGAAAGACCATCCATGCTTTTCCCATTACTTCTTTTTATGAATAGAAGAAAATCAAGGGGGAAGAAAATGATCCTAAATTAAAGAGATTGTTGGGATTTTTCCAGATGAATAAAGCTTAGGAAAGACATTTTTGTACCACCGTTTTTTCTCCAATGCAATGACTGCAGAAATAAAAGTAGAGTAAGGAATGAAAAATACGTGATTGCAAGAAGTAGATATGGCCCTGTGGGAATCCTGCTCTCACTAGTGGCATGTATTTGTTAGTGCTGCCACAGAGACTTTTTGTGAGCAGAATGTAACATGTTTCTGAACTAGCAGTGAGCCAGGTGATAAACAGATAACTCCCTAGAGAACCCTCTTCTGTCAAGGAAGTGCTATACATCTCCTTTCATTGCACAGTTTACAAACCTGTACATCTCATGTTCTACTCTGTCTTCATAAGCAGTAGGTTTAATTGGAAATTGGAGAGAGAGATTGCTACTTGCTTTGTCTTCCTGCCTGTTGTTGATAAGAGTTGAAGTTTCTTGCAAGTGAAGTACCACCTGGAATACAGAGTGTTCTTTCCCCAGATACGCCATGATATCCCAGTTGACTTCACTGTGAGTAGGAGTAAGAGCTAAGTTGGACATGGAATCAAATTCCGCCCTTTATAAACAGACATAAATCCTACTGAAACTGATGAGAATAGAATTGTGATTTAAATCAAATCTGAATCTGCTTCACACAGCTCAATCCAAATGTAATCTGCAGTACAGCAGATAATGGAGACCAGTGTTTTACTTCATTGCGTCTGAATATAGATGAGAATAAAATCTGATGGTAATGGATAACTGTTGAAATATATTTCAATAGGAGATTCTTTTTGAGGAGGATTTTAATGAAGTTAAACAAAAAATCAAAAGAAACACTTTATCCACTTGTGCTCTTTCTACCCTTTGATTGCACTGCTTTTCTTTTGAGATGTTCCTATAAATGTCTTATGCATTGAAGCATGAATTGATGCAATGAAATGAGCATGACATGCTTAGAGCCCAATGGTTAATGCATCCAGATGGAAGAGTTTAGGTGCTGGCTGTAGCTCCTTTCACTCACGTCACTGTCTTGATTACCAAGAGGATGGATGTCATGCTAACTAATTTTGTACCCTAGGACTGCTAGCACTTCCCTAATGATAGTGTAGGGAGCCTTCTGCTTCCCCTTTGTTTCTGTTGCTATGCTAATGTGCCTGACCAAAGTGAGAGGTCTGCTGTCTCCAGCAGTCATTGAGGAAAGAGGTCATGCTAGGAAATAGGCCAGAGTTAAGGAAAAAGGGCTCCTCAAGGAAAAGGGGAGATTGGGATCGGAAATGTTCTTAATAGTCTTAGCTTTGCTGCAGATATGGTAGGTATTACCTAGCACAACTCAAGTTTGTAATATCAGCTTTCCTCAAATAAAAATTGTCTGCATCCTAAGACCATTGCACATAATTCAGCACAACCTGACATGTCAACAATAACACTGCCTTTGCAGAATAAGCGCTCAAGGATAAATCTTGTGTGAAGAGTAAATCACCTCTTGCTCTCCTTAGCTCTCTCAGGTGAGGCAGAGATATAATATAGGGCCAGCTAACACATAGACCTAACAGCAGAATGGGTCTTTTTTTCCTGTGTTAGGCATGCCATCAGAGAAGATAAACTTGAGATAACTCTGTTAACAGGTGCAGGTGAATCAATAAGGCATATACGTTTTTTTCCAGATGACTCCTCCTCTTTCATTTCATTTCCTACTTTTAACAAGAGAAAGGTAAGCAGATATTGAGTACAATGTTTCATGTCATATACATCTCCTTTTCTGGCACGTTGCTTTTGCAATATGTGGGCTTCAGCAGTTTTAAGGAGTTTTTTTTTTTTTTTAATGTGGTGTTTTCACTTAGGGCAGTGCAGATTTCTTTGGAAATCTATGACAATCAATTAAGTAGATGAAAAAAAGAGAATATTTGTAATCAAGATAATCAACCTACATGAAATCCACTCTACTAGTGCTAATATCCGTATATCTCCAAGCTGTATATTAATTAAACACCATGTAAGTGTTACAATTAGACTCAGGCTGCTGTGGTGAAAACAAGAAAAATCTGAAAGTGATCGGAGGGTTTTACTGCACATGAAACTCCTGGTTGTTTTAAACAAGCTCATTATAATTTGTGAGGTGATGGTCTTGCTGCAGACAATTCAGAATGCCCGAAGACTCGGCAGCAGGCTTCAGCTGCTTCCAAAACGGGTGACTCAAGGAAAAAGACGCTTTGGTTTGCAAAAGCTACATTTCTCCTCTTGGGTGTTTTCTTCTGTCTTCAATTTCGTGAATGAATTTGGGTTACTGAGCTCTGCAGCCGGTAGTCAGAAAGGGTAGGTGCTTATTTCTATACAGGAAATTGCAAGGAGGAGAGTGGAGAGAGAAGAATTATTCTGGGTAGTTCTTAGAATAAAAAGGACTTTGTCCTGGGTTTTGTTTGTTTGTTTTCAATTTTATTTTGATTTGAAGACCCTAAGGTCATCCAAGCCTTCCCACCTGACAAAATACATAATCTTAATATAGTCATACCAGGAGCCAAACACTACATTAGATTCACCAGATAATCTGAGATTATTCAGATTGTGCTTCCTCAAAGCAAAACATCACCCCATTTATTTCCTGGTGCTTGTTTGGGGCTTTGAGAAGCACAAGGTTCTGTCTGTGTCAGCAGGTGACCCTGCGAGAAGCCAGAGGAGTACACAGGCAAAAAGAAGGGGACCTTGTGCCCTTGTCTAGGGATGCGCCAGGGTGGTCGCTCAGCAGCTGCAAAGCGAGTTTTTTGTGGTTCACTGAGATGTGATGTTGGGGCATTTGCAGTTTTTCTTTCCGTACAAAGCTTTTGGCTGGCTACAGTCGCACACAAAAAAGTACTGCAGAGGTAGAGGAACAGTCATTTTACTGGGCAAAACACAATCTCCACCTTAGAATTGCCTAACTTTATAGTGTTATTAGCTGGGGATGCCAAAGCAGCTGTATGAAGCAAAGCAGCTGATAAACCCATCAGTTAACTTGCTAGATAATGCCATCACTGTTTTAAGATTAACTATTTGGAGTCAAATGAAGTAGTACGCCTAATCAGTGTGAGCATCAGTTTGATTAAATTATTGCACAAATAATGAATAAATGCGATATTTTCTTCTTTACTTTTGCCAATGATTAAAAAAAAAATCTGCTTTTACAGAACAGTGCTCTCTCCTGTGACAGATGAGCCTACTCATTGGTATCATGCTTTCAGATAGTAGCGTTTATATTTCTAGAGGGGTGAATAAAACTGTACATGACACCTTCAATTTTTCATTTGACTTCTTTTTTTTATTTAACATTGATACAAAAAAATAGTATTTTGATTAGCAGCTTTGCTGGCAATCCCACAAAACTGTAAATAATACTTTAATCTAAAAGAATGCACTTCTACAGACACTATAGATAAAACAATATATACAATTTAGACAAATAAATACATAGGTACAGCCAGTCATATAATGATTACACCTAAAGTTCGGTTACTGTCAACAAGTTTTTCTAGTTAATTACACTCTTCATTTACAAATTGCCATTGCCATTCTACATTATAAAGACAAAAAAAAATCCCCATGAAGAATCAGAATTGATACTCAATCTTATTAGGAAAGATGGAAAATGATTCTTGAGTCTTCTGTTTAAATATTCCCAAGGATTTAGCAAAAAATGCTATTGTGAAAAAATCCTCCAAAAGAGAGGGATTTTCCCCCTGTAGCTTCTCAGTTCTATGTGCTTTGTTCATGTACATTTTGAAATTCAATTATATTCACATTTTGATGGAAGTGATTAAAAGCCACCACATCTTAACCAAGTTGTCATTTGCCCCATGCACAATGAAAGAAAATGACCTTTAAATAACACCAGTATTTCTTTTGATTAAAGGAAGCCCAATACAAACACTGCTGTAACGTAACGGGTACCCAGTGCGACACAAATACTTCTGAGTGAAAGGGACTGTAAACAGTCCCTATGAGGAGATGTATTGCTCCCTTTCTAGCTCCCCTTGTAGCTCTAGGTTGCAATACTGCGATTTTTGAACAAAGAGAAAATATTAAATCTATTTTATAGTTGTAACAAGCTAGTTAAGTATAGTATCAGAAAATTAATAGAAGTAGAAAATTAGGCTTTTGTTGTTGTTATGTGTGTGTGTGTGTGTGTGTGTGTGTGTGTTTTTAATTTACCTGACCAAACAAAAAGATTTCTTGTACATTCAAAAGTTAGGGCACACATGCTTAAGGCTCTTGAAACACTGGACAAATATAATGCCTAACTCAGCTCCATGCATAACAGAATACTACATAACAAGCAGACTCTACACATATATACAGCTGAATACAGAAGAAAATGCCTTGGAAATATATACATAAGTTCCAAGATGAACATTTACATTTCTGTTGACGATCTACCTATTTATAAATGCCAGGAAATACATTTTTCAGATATTATTTTCAAGATGTACCTTCCATTCATTAATGCAATCTACTCATATTAGGGGAAATTCAAGGCTGCCATACCACTTGAGCCCTGAGGGATTGGGATTGGGAGCCCTACTGTCCTCTTAGTTTCTAACGAAAGGCTACAGAAGTGTCAATGGGAGAAGTAAGGCCACCAAATCCATTCAACTGTGGATTCAGAAACCCTAAGTGACTGCACAGTGTGGAGGGATAGCAGAAGTGATTGTAGCCTCCTGGTTGAACTTACTACAAAGCGTGTCCATGATAGGACTGCATCTGTATTATGTGATTTACATATGGGCTGGGGAAGAATTCACCCTAGTTTCACTTCATAAACTGCACATATTGTGGCTTGGGTATGGAAAGCTGAATTTCACCTGATGTATGTATGTGTATATATATTATAATGTATATTATATACATATAGGTGCAATTAATTGGACCTTGTTTTACTGGAAGCAAGAGCAACTTTAACAAGGGCTAGGTCAACTGGGAAGGCTAAATCTTAGTTACACTGTAAGAGAGTCAGTATTTTTATGTAAAATTTCTGATTGTTATTTGTACAAGCTCCTGCTGATTAGCAGTAACTCATGGGTTATCTACTGTGTAGCTTCACCTTTAAATCTGAAATCTGAAGTCTCTTAAGTCTGAGACTTCTACTGTTTGTGGTTTAAAGGCCAAATACTGTTTACCTTATTTACAAGTAGTTCTTTTCAAAACAATAGTGCTGAATTTGTGAATAATGTTCACAAATTCATGACAATTTGTCATGAAACTGCAAACCTCTTGGAGTAGCATCTTTATTTGTCTGTTACTGTTGTAAAGTGCTATGTACACCTATGGCATGATATCAAATAATAGAAAAAGCAAAATCAGTTCAGAGTTTTCTTTAAATTCTGATTCAGTTAATTTCTGACAACTCTATAGACATCCTGAATGATGTACAGCCTTACCAGCTTTTCATACGTTACACGTAACTCCAGCTGAAATGAAGGAGACGTGTGTGCGCGCTGCGGCCGTTATGAGTAATCTGCAGCTAGTAATGTGTTTGGTGAATTTTGTATTGCTGTGACTTGTCTGTGAATTCTTCGTTCCAAATTATTTGCGGAACACTGTCATGTTTCGTTCTTTGTTACAAGATGGTGCTGAATGGAGATGGTTTGAACTTATCAAAGACATTTCCAGAAAGTAATTTTCATCACACTTTCATTCATATTCAAGACACGTAAGTACATTTTGAAACTTGAATAAAATCTTGTGCACTTGATTTTTATCACATGCTTTGGGGATCTCTTGAGTTTTGATGCTTTCTTGAGTTGGACCTCAGTGACTTTTTGGTTCTGTGATGAGCGACCTGGGAGCTGCAAACTTGTAACAAAGGCTATAAGTGATTCTTAAAAGCTCTATTTTGCTCTGAAAGTTGTACATAACTGTTATAGAATCTGTATGTTGCCCAGTCAACAGAAAATTGATTGCGTTCCTTTACTGGACAAAATTCTGGTCTTCTACACCATTAAAAATCTTGAGTAATCTCATTTACCTGTGTACTATAGCAAAAAGTAGAGCTTATCCTTCAGAAAGGTTGTTCTGTGTTTTATTTTTCAGGTAAATAGTGTGCCGACTGATGTTGAAGGAATATGCTGCTTATTAGTTGATATTTTTACTATTCAATAATACTATATATTGCTGCGTGTGACCATTAATTTTAATTAAAATAATTAATTTTCTAAAAATGTGTCTCCATAACATGTCCAATAACACTATCAAAGTACTGCTAGTACTTGCATGGAGAGATCTACATACACCGGTACTAATGAGAAACGTTGCAATTTAAAATTAAAAGTTAAAATATATTAATACTTTTATAATGTATATTTAAGATAGTTTGTCTCATGCATCTCCTGTGTCTTGCATTTTACCCACAGGTTATTTTTTTTTTTTAAATTGCTTTAGGGGCTAATTTAGGCTGACAGTGGAACGAAATGGGATATTTTCTGAAGTAATTCATAGGAATGCCATTTTGGGGATATAAATGTACTTCAATGTAAATGCTTGTTTCTGAGGCCTATGATACTTGTTATTCTTACCTGTCTAAATTCTGCTATTGAATCATCAGTAAGCTGTTTTGAGATTGCACGCATTGTACTCTAAAATATGCACACCGGGACAGGTGTATAAGATCAGTGCAAATATATATCATGTAAATTATTAATAAAGCTCTAAACGAGGATGGTTGTAGGGTGTCAAAAAGGGATAAAAGTATATTTTTAATTCTTCATTTCTTAGGGCCTAAGTCTTATCTCAGAGGCTAGGGCATGAACTGCTAAGCAGCTCAGGATAGTTTATTACTATCTTTTACGTACAGATGCAGGAGCTGATGTGCGTGAGAGGGAGTAATATACAAAATCGGAGCTTTGACTCTATACCCTTTTGATTGGTGTAATGTTCTTATGGAAAGAGCCTGAAGTCTGTAAACTAGTAGTCAAAACAAGAATGAGAAATCAGTCATTAAAAACCCTCTCACAGGTAATATCCCACAGTTTAACCTGTAAATCAGCAGATCGCTTTCTGTCAAAAAATAACCAAACTAAAGCAAACCAAAAAAGGTATTTACATCTGTAAAAATCTTAACATCTAAGATGTTTCTTGCTTGACATGTCATTCCAAATTCTGTGCATTTCTTCTGGCGTTATCTGGTGCACTGTAATCACTCTGCGATACCTACACAAGCTGTAGGCCATTTTCCAGTGATTGAAGCCACTGTTTTGGAAGGGGTGAATGCCAAGCTTCCGAAGGCAGAGTCCTACATACACATCTTCAAGATGAAGAAGTCTGGTGTGAAGGGAGGTTTTGTAAATTAGTTCTGCTACATCAGCTGAAAAAATGTAGCCGGTGCCTGAACAGAATGGTGGGTAATTGCTATCAGGATACAAATCTCTGGGCATGTACCATTTACTGCGAACATCTCTTATTGGTCCTCCATTTATAACATAGCCGGTAAAGTACCTTCTCCTTGGCTTGGTGTTGGGTTTGAGCAGCTTGTAAATAAGATTATCCATGTTTACGAAAATATCACTGTCTGTCTTCATAACATACTTTGCTTTTGAACAAAATGTTGCTACCCACCTCATCCCCATTAAAGTTTTCAGAGTGAGGTTATGATAAGAGTCAATAAAATCCTCCACAATAATGTCATGAAAAATTTGGCTTTCTTGCTCTACCATTTGATTTAGCACAGGATCTGCATTTTTTCCGAGAAGAAATAGCGTAGCAATTTTAATTCCTTTAAAGTTGTTCTCATCTCCCCACGTTTCTCGAATTGCTTGCCTTGCATCAAATTCTTTGTGAGTTGTGCTGATAAGAATGACCAAGAAGGGGACACTCTTCTCACATTTATTAGGTTCATTGATGAGAAAGTCAAATGAATGTGGATTAATAGGTCGAGTTCTTATATTGCCAAAGGAGACATTTTTTCTGGCTATTGATATGCTATTGAACTGTCTGTGGCCAGTGTAGGAAGAAGTAGGACGAGTTATACTTAAGTACCAAAGAGCGCTTGCCCAACAAACTACTGTCAAAACATATAAGCAGGAAACCTTTGAAGCCATTGTTCCTGTAGCTCTTTTATTCAGTGTAATGAATAAATAGCCTTCTTACCATGAATGTACCTATGTCCCAGAGAGGCAGCATATTATTAATGAAACTTGAAAGTTCGATATAGAAAAGTAGCTCTGTAATCATTCATGGATCTCAAGCAGGAGCTATTAACCCTGATGATACTCTGCTTTTCTTCTTTTACTAGCAGCAGCTTCCATTTCTTGGCATTCTCCGTTACTTCTGAAAAATATGAAGAAGAAATTTCCATTGCTAGATCATAAAAGCCTAGGGCACGAAAAATGAACTTAAATATGACTGGCCCTTAATAAGCTACATCTATTAACATGTTTCTCAGACGTCCTTTATTTCTCATGAAGTACCACAATGCAAGACACTGTACTAGAATATAGCATTACAACTGAAGGAATGCTTTTATGATTGATAAATTATTGTAGATAATATCCAGTAAAAAAATTAAGTATGCATAGCGTGTTGGCTTTTCAGTTAACTTCCTGTAAAGCCTCTTCTGTTTTCTTACCATTTTCTTGCTTCTTAGCCTTTTTGGGCAGTTATAATCTTTCAAAATATGCTATGGAGCATTTCTTAAATTACTTAGAGTGAAAAGAATGTGATTTATCTTAGGATCAATAAATTTGTTAGCTAGTATGCATGTAAATATCTGCAATTCCAGTTTGGCCTAAATGATGTTAACATCTGCCTAGCTAGCAGTAACACTACTCTGGAAATAAAACAGTTTTGCACCGATTATTACACATAACTATAGTAGAGAAAATACTAGGTAAATGTTGTCTTACCCATGTAAAGATCAGAATCCAAGTAGAATCCATAAATGTCTAGAAATAAATTGATACAATTTAATTATTCTTACTGGCTTTCTTCTCCTCTTCCCCCAAACTAGGCTTTATTTTTCATGGAGGGGGAAAAAAAAAACCCAAAACATCATCTGTGTACCATGTAAGATAAATCACAATGGCAATCTATTAATAGTGTCACTTTACTCAGCATCTGCATATCTAAGCAAGGTACCCAATCGCAGGCCTTCCCTGACTGCTGCATTTGTGTCCTGTGTCCTGCATCCTGCATCAGGCTGCTTTTAAGCTTCCTTTGGTCCAGAGAAGTTCCAGCCCTGAAGCCTGCTTTACCCTCAGGATATTTCCTGGAAAAGCTTGTTTATCATCATTTCATAGAAATGCGACAGGCTGCATTAAACCTGCAGGATCGATGCTGACTGGCCAAGGCACACCAGTAGTTAATAGTGCTGGTCTGTAGGGCTCCAAATTCATGGATTTTTCCTCGTTACATTGCTTCAGAACTGAAAGACAGTAGAAGCATGTAATGGATAACCTTTACAAAAGTGACTCTGAAATATGTATTGTTTACTTTGGATAGTACAAAATGTATGATTTCAGATAAAAAATAAAAGCCCTATCTTAGAAATATCCTTTCTAAGTTTCCACACCACTCTGGCATGTTTGAATTAAATCAAAATGCTTTTTAAGGAGCCCCCACGTTGCATGTGTATGTTGTCTTCTCCCTTTCTCAACAAGCAGGTGAGAGTCTGGCCCTGCAGAAGCAGGCACAGCAGTCTCTAGCCAGGTGCTCTGTTGCTAAGTTTTTGTCCAAATAGAGTCCCACTGAAGTAAGTTATCAAAGTTATCAATGACTTGTTATCCTATGTCACTATTTCACGCTGAGGTGTAAAGACAGCAGAGAAACAGCCTAACCTTCGCTAAATGCACACAGATTTCATCACCTCCCACAAAAACTACAGATCTACAGATACTGTTTGTCCAGAATGAATAATTCTTATAGTGGCCCTCAAATTGATATCTGTTGACATCCTTTTTTTTTTTTTTTAAGTTCTTTTCTACTTATTTTTTCTAAAGAAAAATAAGAGTTTAGATTCCTAGGTCTGGAATGTTTCGTGTCTTCCCTATGGTAACTTCTGAGCAAAGTGCAGGCGAAGTGGTTAAGGGTGAATTGGCTGTACTTTTCCTGACAAGTGACGTTTTTAACTTAATTACTTGTTTAGGATGTTGTAGGAAAAAACAAAACAAAACAAAAGGAGAGAGACCCACCACAGAACAGCAGAAATACTTCTGCTATTCGCACTCTGCTGTGACATGGAAGATTAAAGTTCGTGTTCCTGCTTCAACTGATTTTTTGGTCTATAGACCAAAAACAGATTCAGCAGAAAATAAGGCAAACAACGTTGGTAAATAGTGCAAATACAAAAGAAAGCTTGCTCTGAGGAGTCTTGCTCTTTCATTCCAGCTGAATGATTGCTGGCCCCTTCAGCAGCAATCTCTCTCCTTGTAGATTCAGAGTGCTAGGGAGGTTAGATAAGTAGCTATGTCACTTCATTTTTTTTTTGGCCATAGGGTAAAAGTTCATACAAATTATTTCCAGTAACTTTGTTCCTGCACAGTAATTCCAATAACGCTGACTTTGCATAAGAGAGAAAATACATGGCTTGATTAGGTAGGAAAACATGAACTAAGCACTATAATATGTTTCATTAGTGAGGATTTAGCAGTCAAAAATTTCAGCAGTTACCAAATTCAGATATTAAAGGCCCTGAATCAGCAAGGAACTAAACAGATGCCTAACCCAAACTTCACTAAAGCTACTCCTGTATTTAGGGTTAGTCACAAAGGCATCTTGCAAAATTATTCATGGTAACAAAGTCCATAACATAAACCTTTCCCTTGCAATGTGTTGTGTGACCTGAAACTAAGTTCTGCTGCCGTGCAGTATGAGAGGCTTGCACGTCAAGGGCACGAATTACAAAAAAATTAATAAAAATGTAAAATTAATGTGTTCAGAGAGTGTTAAACCTTTGTGTCAGCTATCTCATTTGGAAGAGAGGAGGATTAAGCTGCAATGAAATAAAATCACTACTTTCAAACGAACATTCAAACAACTGCAAGCACTTTCAGGTCTATATATTATTGTTGTTCTTTTAGCAGTGCGTTTAACTCCTAGGGTAAAGAGCCTCTAAGTTCTTCAGAATATTTCTAACCTATTCAGTAGTAAATATCTCAAAAGCCACAGTAAACACTAAAATGCATACCAAATTCATGAATAAATTTTTTGTGTTACTGGTGCTGATACTGAATTCAATGTATTGTCACTGCAAGAATCTTTTTTTCTTTTTTTTTAACTAACTTGAACTTTTTGTTGAAATTTGTTTGAAGACCCTCCAGTGGCAGGATGTGGATTGTCGCAGAGCGAGCAGAGAGTTTGTATCAGCTTTGGATTTTGTTTATTGGGATAGGGCGTGTCACATTTGGGGACATTGTCACAGGCCAAGGGATGTGTCACCTCCTTTTCTCTGTTCTGTGGAGGGAAAAGAAAGCTTTTTTAGCAGGGTAGCAGTGACGTTAAGCTCTGAGATCCTTGTTCTTAGAATGTTTTAATTCAATCTATCCCTTTTCCCAACCTCACTGTCATCCTAGTAGTAATCAAAGGCTCAAGCTTTGCAGGGATAGATGATGTTGAAAAGCAAATGTTTAGCATAATGCTCCCATATTGTGAGTCAAAGTTGTGTACTTAATTGTGCTATTCACCAGTTCATGCTGTGCAAGCCAGAGAAGCCATCCAGTTAGAGAACAGAAGCAGTATTGTGTAACTCGTGTAAGTAATTGACCTGAGCGAGCCTGTGAGTATTTGCAGCAAACCTTTTATGAGCTGACTGCACATCTAGAATAATCCTCCAGATAATGAGCACATTTGAGAATCTTGCTAACTGTTCATGGGCAATTTTCAGGCAGGCATAAAATTAAGTTTAGTAAATGTTTTTCACCAACTGCAGATTTTAGGATGTTGCTGCTTCTGATCAGAGGTTGTTGATCTTTTCCTTTCAATAAAGCCTAACTCAGTTGTCATATACAAGTCCAGCTGCATAAATGTAGTTAGGTCACAGTGGATGAATATGTTAGAAACCACAACTCTAGAAGCCCGCTGTATTGCCAGTCGTAATCCATACCCTGTCACTATCTGCCGCGGAGGCATAACATAGGTGTTGGGTGGAGGCAGTCACAATGCTGAGCCCTGGGCAAGGTCCCAGGTGAGGAGCCAAGGGATACTGCAGTTGCTTGTCCTGAGTCCCCAGAGCCTGTTGGACAGAGCACGACTGAGCCAAAGTAACTCTCTGTATCTCTGCCAAAATACACCTATTCCTTTCCCTGAAAAAAGAGGGAATGCTGCTGCCAAATTATTTAATAAGCATAACAAATGGTAATAATTTTCCATAAGGAGATATTTTGGTAAGAGTTTTCTGTGTTCACGGCTTTTGTCTGTGCATGGACCGAGAGACTAAAACCTCTTTACTGTTTATGAAGTCCTTAAATTACCCAAGTAAAAGTCTGTGATTATTGTAGAATCTTGTTCAGATGATAATTATCCTGAACATCAAGAACATATCTGCAGAGAAGTTTTGGGAAACTGTTCTGTTCCTGGCTTTATCTTTTCACAGTAATTTCTTGAGGAAATTCTGGACAGATGGCATAGGTGATATAACAGGAGATTGCAAGCCTTCTCTGGCAACCTTCTCCGAAGTTTTCTTGGATGTTGCAGATGTTTTTGTTCTGCCTGAACAAAATAGATCTTGGAACATACCTGAAACCAAATTGATGCTGAAAAGGAAGACTTTCTTCTCTAGAATATATAGGAAAAGGATAGTAATAAATGTAGAAGTCTGGAGTTGGGGAGAAGAAAGTACAAACATTCACTTCAGTTCCAAATATTTTAGAAAAGTCAGTGTCTCTGTTTTGGGCTGTCTCAGCTATCATGTTTTAAAGGAGGCTGGTTTCCCTTCTCTTCCTTCCAAGGCTGCTAGGATGAATGTTTTCTGAAAATCAGACCACTTTTTAAGATACGCTATTTACGATATGCAGATATGTGTAGAATCATTCCTTGTTCACAGAAATATTGATGATGGACGTTTAGCTGAACGTAAAAGCAAGTATCATGCTACCAATTCTGTACGCACAAATGCTGATTTGCAGATGTTTTTATACTATGTTTCATGACTGACTTAAAGAATTGATCTCCTCAATTACTTTTGAGATATACAAATTACTTCTCAATATTTACTACCTGCTCTTAATGTGAAAGAAAAGTAAGAATGGCTATAGATTAGGAAATTTTTTGAAAAGCTTCTAAATCTGATATAGGGAAAACATAAGCTTTAGTTAGAGTTTCCAGTAAATGTGACCATCCTATTGCAACTTCTCTAACCTTTAAAATGCCACTGCAGAGTTTTTTCAGAATTAAAAGATATCCAACATGAAAGCAAATCTGTGTATGAATGCCTTCTCTGTATTTTCCACTCTGTTCTTTTTTGAAGGAAGTATGTCGATAAAGGTAGGATTTTCTACTTCTTCTAGAACTGCTGAGATAACCTACTTAATTAAGTTATATTTTCATTGCTTTGGTTTTCTCATTCTTCTTAATATATTTGCATAAATAAATATTAGATATTTTAAGAAAGAATCATGCACCTATTTTTCTCAACCAAATAATTTACAAGTGAAAAGGCCAACAATTTTCAGTATGATTAAGCTGTGAAGTATAGTTTTCCAAACAGTAGAAAAAAATATTTAGGAGTATTTGGATCAATACAAATGTCAAATTCCTCATAACTCTGAGGACTAGGGTAAGCTTTTGGTTAGAAAACATGTGAGCTTGGCATTAGGGACTGTTCTTTGGCTGGCGATGTACTGAGGTGGGATTTCAGCTCTAGTTGGAGCAGCCTTTCTCTCCGGTTTGGAGGATGTGTCAGATGCCCTGGAGCTATAAATTTCCATCCAAGTTTTGCAGCTCAAAAATA